TCGTAACAGGTCCAATACCTTGGAGAGCTCCTTTCAAGTCTGCAAGAAAACCTGGAGTCAAATCCCTTTCACCATTCCATTCTGCTGCCAAAAGACATTGTGATGGGGGGAAAGAGACCAAATGGAAGGGAAATGAAATTAGTTTCCTCTTTGAATGCCCTTCGTCTTTCCAGCAAAGATCCAGGAAGAAATAGACCGGGTGATTGGGCAGGGACGGCCCCCTGCCATGAAGGACCGGCCCGAGATGCCCTACACGGAAGCCGTCATCCACGAAGCCCAGCGATTCATTGACCTCATCCCCTTGGGATTCACACGGGTGGTGAAAAAAGACATGGAACTGGAAGGCTTTACCATCCCAAAGGTACCGGCTCCAGTCAACATGGCAGACTTGGACTGAGATCTGGCATCAACCATGCACAATACAAGCTTTTGTCATGCACGGTTGATGTAAGATCTCAGAAGTAGGGTGTTCTTGGAGGGCTCATGATTTTCACATGTTTTCATTACATGTGTGTGTGGGGAATTGCTATGTTTTGGGAGCCCAAAATGCCTAAAAATCACACTAATGGATTTTTAAAATGGGGGAGTTAGGAGGCTTGAGGGACTGATGGGGCATTTCAGGAGCCACAAAACTGGGGCCTGAGGGCCACTTGTGGACCATGCTGCACCCACAGATCTGTTGTAAAGCCTTCACTTGTTTGTTGTTGTTGTTGTGTGCTTTCAAGTCATTTCTGATTTATGGCACCCTAAGGTGAACCTATCATGCAGTTTTCTTGGCAAGTTTCTCCAGAGTATCCTCTGAGGTTGAGAGAGTGTGACTTGCACAAGATCACCCAGTGGGTTTCCATGGCTGAGTTGAGATTCAAATCCTGGTCTCCAAGGTCCTAGTCCAGTGCTCCAACCACTATGCCATGCTGGCTGTCATTCCCCCACAAAGGGAATGGTTGACTCTCTTCGTAGTTGTCTCTTTGTAGTTGTCTCTTCTGTTTTCTCCTAACAGGGCGCCACTCTCTACCCGATCCTGAGCTCTGCACTGCATGATCCTAAGCAATATACAAATCCATATAAGTTTGACCCAGAACACTTCCTGGACAAAGACGGCCGCTTCAAGAAGAATGGAGCCGATATGCCTTTCTCTGCTGGTAGGCACTTCTGAATGGCCATCCCTTGGGGATATCTAGTTCACAGGTGGCATTCCTGTGGCCCACAGGCCATGAGTAGTCCTTTGAGGAGCCCAGTGTGGCCCTTGGGACCCTCATTGACACCCAAGCCTAGACTATATCCTCCAACTGGCCCAATTTGGCAGGGTTAGGGTTAGGGTTAGGGTTAGGGTTAGGGTTAGGGTTAGGGTTAGGGTTAGGGTTAGTTTCAGAGTCTTGCCCTTCAATGTCAGCTCAGGCAAAAGCAAACCGCTGCAGCCTCTTCCAGCTTGTCTGTTCTTCTTCATTGCCATCTTGATCATGTGCTGATGTTGCTTGGACACACATGCCCATTTTCGTCTATGAAATGTTGAGCCCTGGCACAAAAGGAAAACAAAACCCAGACAGATTTTTAGATGAACAAATAATTTTTGGGTGAAGAACTCTCTCAAGAACTCTTGGGGAGTGTGATACTGTTTCAAGGGGCTCCTCCTTCCCCCAAATGCCTTGAAAAGTACAGTTGGCCCTCCATAGCCATAGTTTCTTTATCCATGGGTTCAACCATCCACAGGTTGATATATATATATATATATATATATATATATATATATATATATATTCGAAAAAGCAAACCTTGATCTTGCCATTTTATATTAGGAATACTATTTTATTTAGTGGTATCCCTCGTATAATCATGGACTTGAGCATCCACGAATTTTGATTTCCATGGGGGGGGCTGGAACCAAACCCCAGTGAATATCAAGAGCCAATTGTAATTTAATCCTAACTGGTGATCCTAAAAATTACACAACCCAAAATTTTGTTCCTACCTATAGATCACATATC